AAAATCTCTATATTGGTGGATATAGTATGAGGAAAATGCAGTATATTAAATTTTATATAGGTAATATTATTTTGATTTTCTCTAATGTATGGCTATTAGTTATTTTATGTTTAGTTTTATTAACCGCAACAAATTAAATTTGGACATAAATTTAGTGCTATAGAATCCAGCTGAATATAATTACTTTTTGAATATGGAATTGATTATGAACGTGAATGCAATATTTAGGTATATTAAAACATTCCTCTTATTTTCTTTGTTTCAATATACCTATTATTTTTTTAGCAACTCTTTTCAGTCCGTGCAATTTTTTAGTGAAAAATATCAATGAATACAAATATTTTATTTAAACAAAAATTGGCATTTTAGTGTAAATGTGTATTAATAAATCTAAAAATATATATAAAACATACACAAAAATATAATAAAATCTTATAATGATAAAAATCCATATAAAAATACTATACTATCGAAAAAACGGCGTCTGAGTTGGTTTGGAAATAAAGGTGCTTTTATTTTACAAACAAAATTACTTGACAACATTTATTTTCGATTATACGGTATATTACATGGAATAAAATGTTTCATAGAATACCTACTGTCGGTCTCGTCCAAACTAGTGACATCATTGTCAGTTTCCTCATAAACTGAGCTGGAGTTTTTACTTTTGCTAAAATTTGTCACGCGTTTGGCCTTAGCTTGGCTCTTTTCAATTTAGAAAAAGAAAAAAAAATAGAAAAAAATAATTCTAAAAAAAAAGTTATATAGTTAGCGATAAAAAAAATAAATATTTGTGGAATTTGTAGGGGTCTGGTCATGAACAAATTTATGCCCTAGCTCAGAAAACTCGGAGAGTAGGGGCAGGTTAAGAGCGCCACTGACTTTGGACGGAGAAAAGTCAGAAATCCGCCAAGATGTATTTAGGGCCTTACAAGCTCCACAAATAGATAAATAAAAAAATAAATAAATAAACAAAAAAAAGTCAAGATCTTAGAGAATTATGTCGACATAGGGCCAAAGGAAATATAAAAATAATAAAGCAACTGATTAGTTTCAGTACCCTTTTAGTTTACCCTCTATTGAAATATAAAAGGTTAATAATAGGAAACAATAAATAGAAAATACCAAATAGCAAATAATAAACTAAATAAATCAATAAAAAAAAATTGTGCACTAAGAAAAATATATCACAATACGCCAGTAGCAAAATTACGTAAATACCTAGGTACCTTTCGTGATCACGCAAGATTTACAAAAAAAAAATATATGTATAAATCAGCGCAACTAGATTCAGATAATATATCAAATTAATCAACAAAGTAATAAATGAAATAAATAATAACAAGGTAATTCATTAATATTAATAATTAATAATATCATTATTAAATAAATAAAGTAATGAACTAATAGTTACAAAAAAAAGAAATTCAGATATCGATTAAAAAAAAATGAATAGATTTAAATATAGACAAAAAGAAACTATGTCAGCAGTATTAAATTTACAAAAAAAAAAATAAATAGAGAAAAAAAAAATGAAATATTATTTTATCAACAGAATTGTGTATGTGAAAATTTATTCTAATTATATTATAATGTTAAGAAAAAAAATTATCTACGGTCAGTATTTGTAGGCACCATCAAAATTTAAATCGTGAAATAGAAAAAAATAAAAATTGAATTGTACGATAGCAAATAGTTGAGAATCTTCTAAATTAACATCTGACTTGGGCAGACACCGTCGGCTGTCGACTGTCAACCGTGGACTGTCAACTCCTCCAGAAAAGTAAAATGGATATCAGCAAAAAAACTGCTCCAACAAAAAAAAAACTGGCTCAGAGAAAAGTCTTCAACACAGAAGAAAAAAACTGCTTCGGCCCAGACAAAAAAACCCTACGGAGAAATAATATTATAGTTTCTCCATAGTACGAGATACCATAAAAAAATAGTTTTTTTAAGAAGAAAAAAAAAGTGGAAAGAAATGTATTAATTAAAAAAAAAATAGGCTTTACCTGCTAACTCAGGGTTTTCTACGAATCCTCAGATGGTTAATATTAGTTCTTCCCCTGGATGGAATGGGATGCTCAATAAAAAAAAGGCGGGCTGCTTGGTTGACCCACGTCAGCTTTTTGAGGTGAAAATCCCGTCACCGGTAAATTGTAGCACCGTCCAAAAAAACAAAAGGTAAGATAGGGTGCTGCAGTAGTTTTTGAGGCACACTCGAAAATCCCCACAAGGGTAAAAATCAAAAAAACTTGACAAAAATACCGAGAGGCCTCTGTACCTCACACTAGCCAAACCAAACCAAACCAAACCAAGATAGTTCCAAGAAAAACGAAAACCTTTTTTGCCACAAAGAAATAGCCAGATAAAAACACAAGACACGAGCCCTTGATAAAATATGGATTGCCAACCATAAGCTGAATATAGACATGAAGAAAAAAGTTATATGTTAAAAGAAAATAAAGTTAATATCAATAATTTATATAATTAATAGAATAAATAAAGTTAACGAGATTAATGAAAGTTATATAGAAATTTGCTTATTAAAACATTCAAAAATTAATTAATAACAACCATCTAGAAATATTGCGCATGACTCACTTGCCGGATCGATATGATATCTTTACTAAGACAATTATGCTTAGAAAATTTTACTTAAAAAATTAAAATAGAGCAACATAAACTTAATGAGTTTAACTAAGTGACAATAGGCTCAATAATTACTGTTGATTAAATAAAATACAAAAATATATAATCAGTTTATTAAAGTAAATTTTGGGTTGCCTATAGTTAATGTTAATAAAAATATAAATAAATATTTGACGGTTCAGTTCAAAAATTTCTAACCTACGTATTTAGTAAATAAAAAAAATTAACGGCGGAAAGAATTATTTTATCTATTTCGGCTAAAATAAATATTAAATTGTATTAAATCGAACTAGTATTGTGCTGCAAAAAAAAAGTGTTATCAAATGTGAAATATGTTTAGTTAAAAATAAGGATGGAATAATTACTTTTGTTGACATGTAAGTACGATTTATTTATTTTTGGTTTACTGCATTGAACTGATCGATATTTCAGACTAATAATAATATCAACTAGCGTTAAATTATTGAGAAAAATAAATAAAATAGCCTACTGAAATTTTGGCATGTTACACAGTGCTTCCTGTGATTTGAGCAATGCTCGTTCTGAGTCTTATTCAAAGACATAGCTGTCGCTGCTTTAACATTGTTTTGTATGTATGTCTGTTGATGAATATTTTCAGTCGTAGATTCAAGTACAGTGATATTGATATACATTGATTTAGCAAAATGTGAATTGACAAAAATATTGGGCAATTGTAGCATTCCACATAATAGCTAGTACTCAAATAAATAATAAATACAGGATAAGGCAATAGGGCGTTGGGCATCTGTAGCTCCTTTAATAAAAAAATTTAGGCATTTTCTGTGTGCAGATCTAAAGTATGTATTTGGTTGTATTTCAGGAAAATATTTTAACTTCTACATGGTGTCTCACAAAAGTGGAAGTGGATCATGATTATTTTTTTTAAATGAAACAGCCATCACCTTTACATAATTCCAAAATATTATTAAATGTGTTTTAATAGTTTCAGAGATATTAATAAATAAACAAAAAAATATTTTTTCAGCCTTTCAAAAAAAATATTAAAAATACAAGAAATTTCCTGAAATCAAAACTATACTAGGTACTTCGCTACTACAAGAGAAATCTACAAAATAAAATAGTTATTTTTGTAAACACTGCCGCGTTAATTCAACCAAAGGAATAATATACTAGATATATTATTCCTTTGTTAGATGGAAAATTACAAAATGAACATTTTTTGTATTTAAAGTATTTTAAAATTTTTAACGGTTTTGCGGATAGTCGTAATATTTACATTACATATGAGGTTTTCAACAGTAATTTTTAACAAAGCCACCGTAAATCATCAGTAATGATTTGGGTCTGAAATTTTCTGGTTGAAAGGCATATGTAATAAAAATGCGAATATTTGCAACACCGCTAAACATTTTAAAATACTTCAAATGCAAAAAATGTTTATTTTTAAATTCTCCATCTGACAAAGATACAATATACAGGATGTTTTTGGTTTGGTTTGGAAAAAAAACGAAGAAAAATTATTTTATATTTTAGAAATTTTGGTATAGAATTTTGAACACCCTGTGTGGTTTAAGATTTCGATATTTATAGCAAAGTAAATACAGACCTGTAGTAAATACTTAGTATAGTTGATTTCAGGATATTTCTGGTATTTTTAATAATTCTTTAAAAATAGCTGAAAAAATATATTTTTTTATTTACTGACATTAAGTGCCAGTTCACAAGTACATCCATTATTGCTAGATATATTTATTTACAAGGTATTACTTTATGTACATTTAAAAAATTATTTGCGACTTTTGAAAAAAAAATCTATTCTGATTAAAATGACTTTTTGTGCCTCACCTGTGTCACTAGTACAGCCTTGCCACAAAAGTATAATTTTTAGTCCGAATAAAATTAGATGCTGTTCTGTAGATTTTAACTTTATATTTTATTTATTTTATTTTTATAAAATTTATGTCCCAAATATTCCAATATTTTATAAAGGATGACATTATTTTATAAATAAAGGATGATATTATACTGTATATTATTATACTATAAGTGTGGTATATTTATGCTCTAAATTATTTTTTTAACGCAAAAATATTTATAGTAAAAAAGTGTCATATTTCCTTTTTTGAACAAATTTTCATTTCAGTAAATTTAGTTTAAGGTTTTTGATTATTTTTTTCACTGTTTAGATGATATTTTTAATGAAAAACAACAATTAATACAAATAATTTATTTAAAAAAATATTCCTTTGGCATTTCAATATAAATATACACTAGTACTACATGTATTTATAAAAGTGTTATATACAAAACTTACATAAAGATTGATATAAAAATACCTTTTGTATAATATAATATTTAAAAAAGTTTTCTTAGTTAAAACTATCATTCTCATCCAAATTAGTGACATCGATGTCAGCTTCCTCACAACTTGAGCTGGAACCCTTACTGTTCTTCCTGTGACTCGAGCAGCTTCTTAAACAGTTGCATTTTGTTGCGGGTAGACCTCCTAGTGCAGTAGGTAAGTCTTCTTTCTTGTATTTAACTCTTCTATTCTGGAACCAAATCTTAACTTGCTTCTCAGACAATTGAAGGCACGTGGCGATTTCAATCCTTCTTAATCTTGAAAGGTACATATTAGCGGAGAATTCTCGTTCAAGTTCTAACAGTTGCGTCGAAGTAAATGCTGTTCTAATTCTTTTACTCGAAGAATCTCTCAATGACAGTTTATCGTGAGTCGATTTTCCGGGGGTAGACGGTGGACTTGGTGTAGAATCTCGACTGTGGGTAGGAGATGTTTTCAATGTAGGCGACGAATGACCACTTCCTGGATGAACTGGACTTGAAGTCAGAGATGGAGGCGATAATGGTTGGTGCAATATCGGAGGAACAATCCGGGGAATCGAAGGCACTGGTCGCAAAGGCACTTTATGTTGATTTATCTGCTGCATCTGCATCAAATGCTGTTGTTGTTGCTGAGCCAAACTCAATGAAAATAAGTAACTGTTTATGTAGTTGGAAGAGTATGGAAGCATCGGTCTTGGATCACTAACGCACTGAGGAAATTGCGGGATATATTTCGTCGACATTTCTTTTCCTGTGTTTCCCAAAAGGGAATCCATTAAAAAACTTCTCGACATACTGTTATTACGACTTTCCATATCACTCTTAAATAAAATAAATTAAACCAAATAATACGAGCTGCTAACTCACACGACAACACCTCAGTCAGTACTGGAAGTTTTTCTAGGGGTTGAAAATATATATGCCCCCTCTTCAAAAGCTCACCCTCGTGGGCCTTTGTTATTAGCTCCGCCCTGTACAGCCCTTTTAAATGTACCTACGGCCCTAAACTCATCTGGTAAACAAATTGCATGGTCATTGGGTTCAGAAGCGCAAATATTGGCCGGTGATGGGATGGTTTCAGTTTTGGAGGGGACGGAGTTAATATCCTAAAGCGGTTATAAGGCTTGTTGTTCCTTTTTTTGTTAGACAGAAACTAGAATTATTGTATAATTATTAAAATTTGATTGACTATCAATTCCGACAATGTTTTAGCTATTATTACTGGTTAATTTATTCATATTTTTATTCAAAATAAAATTAAAAGTATTGATAATTAGAAAAGTATTTGTTGATTATCTCCGAGCTTTTTCTAATGGTTAAATTATTATATTCCTACGAACGATCTACTGTGTTTTCAATATAATAGACTTAGCTATTTAAACATGAGGAGATACACTATGCAAGGGTAAATGTCTTGTTTAATCTAAATGTTATTTCTTGGTAAAACAATTGCTAACATTTAAAGATTTACTGAAAAGCTGGTTTTCATTAGATTCTAAACCCAGTTGGATTTTAAAGAAGTAACTATTTTTATGTAGCGCAATTCCCAGCTGTTCCCTAATAACGAGTAGGTGTAAATTAGTAGAATAGGTAAACTCCAAAAATTTTGTTTTGATTTTTTTTAAATTTAATTATTTGATATTAAATTAATACTTTTGGTAATTTTATCTCTGTTTATATTAAGAATTAAATCTCTTAGGGACCGTACATATTAACTAACGGACTACAAGAAGAAGATTAAATGAAGCAAATCTTATATCAAGAAGGCCTGCCTCGGGACCAAAACTTACTAGACGTGTTGACTAGGCTCAAAAGCAAAGGCATGGTCTTAATGTAAACATTCCAAAAAATTGTTAGTGCCTTCTTTAAAACCGAATATTTCAAAAAATAAAGCTAATGAGATGAACCAAAAAACAAACCATCGAGAAAGGATGTATCTAGATGATAAAATTATTTTTAAATTTCTTGCTGTTTTAACATATTTCACAGGGTGTTTCAAACTTTCACAAAAATATCAACATTTTGTTTTTCCTGGAATAATTAACAGAGGGGGAGTTTCATTTTTAATTTAAAAAAAGATACTAAAAAGTCAAATAATTTGGCAACACACTGCTTAAAAAATCATCAAAATCGGTCCATTAAAATAAAATATATTAACGTTTAAAATACATCAAAGTTTTAAGGTGCCCATTTTTCGTGCCGGTGAATGTATTTCAAAAACTATACATTTTAGTCATATACTTTTCTAATAAAACAAACTTTTATTTTCTTACTAGAATCCAAAAATCAATTAATATATAGGGTGTTTGTTCCATTACTAAAATATAACTTTCATGTATAACTTTTTCTTGGGGACACCCTGTAGAACTCTACATAATTTTAGAAAATGCTTTAAATTTACCTACATAAGCTCACAAAATTTCACTTTAATAGAAACATTTGTTCTCCTTGCAAAAACCGCGTCGTATATGACGCGACACCCTGTATAATTCGATTTCAATCAAAATTTCAGTGATTAGAATATAAGCAGAATACGTATAGCTTATGCATTAGATTTATTTATTTCAATAAATTTACTAAGAAAAAAAAATAAAAAAATCAAAATATTAAGAAGGAAAAAATTAAGAATTTAGTAAAAATACTAAAATAAAAAATTAAAAGCAACGAAAAAAAATTGGTAAACATTTTAGTATTTTATCTATAAAATACAATAGAGAAGGTTTCACATTAATACATTCACAGTAAATGAATTCCGAAGTAAAAGTCTCGGGACACTCCACTATATTATAAAGTAAAAAAATACCATATAATATCTAGTTTTGACTCATTCTGTATCTCAATTTTTAGTATAATTACTTTTGAAAAGAACATTATAAAACTTTTAAATCGGATTAAAAAAGCGATTTTATAAATATCGAAGGGGTAGGTATATATTTTCAGAAAATTTAGTCCAAAAACACCATTCTGTATAGATTATGATATGACATTATGGGATTTTTGAATTTGTTTAGTTTAGTTGATTTGAGATTCGATAATTTAGGATTACTATCATTGTTTATATTTAGGTACTTCTACAATGAGAAACAGCTGTCATTGGTTAAAAATTACCAAAAAAAAATCACCTAGCTGGCTAATAGCTCACATAAAATTAAATAGGACAGAACCAATATTCCAGATATAGATTTTCAAAATTCGATTAATAAAACCAGTTTTTATCCATTTTTATCTTTAAACATCAATTATTAAATTAATTTTAATTTTACACTTCAATAAATAGGGTACTGGAACCAGTCTCGGACATGGAACCAATAATGGACACTTAACATTTCTATGTCTATTATTAAGCAAGTATGCCTTCTAATGAGTTCTATAAATCAGGAAAATTCTTCTTGCATTGCTCTAAGTTGTATTTTCATTGTCACATTTTATGATAGATGTCGCCTGTGACATGACAAGCAACGTTAATAAATCAGTACCCGGATTGGCGCCATTTCAGTGAATTTGTTAGTGCTCAACTTTAAAGCAACAGTCGGTTTTCTTAAGGCCTTGCTGTCATCATAATACATTTTTTATAAGTTTGGAAGTTTCATCTGGTAGTTAAGGTATGTATTTAATGCTAGATTAGGTTATTTTAATAGCAATTCGTGGTTTAGTAGTTATAGGTTAGGTGTTCAATACTGGATCATGTAATTGTTCTGGAACCCCTAAATGGACAGGGTGTCCATTTAAGGAAAAATACGGTTTTTTAATATATACTGACTAATGAACTAAAAAAATTCATAGTTATCTACGTTAATGTAAGTTTCACGCTTATATGATGACCGGATCCAGTATTAGACAGGGTGTCCAACTTAGGACATGCTCATATGTCCATTATCGGGTTAAATGTTTTTATGCTTTTTTTCAGATTGTTCAGATTATAAAATGATAAAGAAGCCGTTTAAGAGGTATACTCCTGAACAAATGGCACAAGCCCTGGAAGCTGCCAAACTTGGCATGCCAGTTGCAACTGCTAGTAAAAGATGGTGCCGCGTATTATATTAAGAAATAAACTAAAAGGCATTAGCCCGGAAGTCTGCAACATGGGGCCTCCTACAGTTCTCTCAGATGAAGAAGAAAATCGCATCGTCACCTGGATTGTTGATATTGCTAGAGCTGGATTTCCAGTAACAAGACAATCGTTAATTGATACTGTTGCAAAATTAATAAAAGAACTTAATCGCAAAACTCCATTCCCTGATGGTATTCCCGGTAAGAAATGGTTTAAATCTTTCCTAAAAAGGCATCCTAATATATCTTTAAAAACACCTGAGAAACTTACTGGCTACAGAAGTCAATTAACTGAAATAGATATACGTAACTGGTTTGCGGAAGTTTCAAACTATTTTGAGGAAAATAACTATACAGAAATTTTAGAAAATGGATATCGCATCTTCAATGCTGATGAGACGGCTATTGCATTATGTCCTAAAACGGGAAAGGTGTTGGCGCCAAAAGGGGTTAAAAACATTTATGATGTATCCAAAACCTCGGAAAAGGATAGCCTGACAGTTTTACTGTCAGTTGCAGCCTCTGGCAAAATGGCACCACCGATGGTGGTATATCCTTATAAAAGAGTTCCTTCAGATATAGCGACTAATTTCCCAAAAACTTGGGGGTTAGGAAAGTCCGATTCTGGATGGATGACTGGTGAGGTTTTTTTTGAATATATGGCAAATATATTTGAGCCCTGGCTAACAGAAAACAATATAGAACGCCCAGTTATATTTTTTGTGGATGGGCACAGATCCCATTTAACGTTACACTTGAGTCTCTTTCAGCGGGAAAAACAAATTATTTTAGTAGCATTCTATCCGAATGCTACTCATATTCTGCAGCCTCTAGACGTGTCAGTATTTCATCCATTAAAATGCAAATGGAAAACATATGTCAGAAAGTGGTTAACAGAGCACAAAAACCAACAAATAATGAGACAGGACGTTGCCCCTATTCTAGAAAATATTCTAAAGGATTCAATATTACCAGAGATTATTACAAGTGTTTTTCGAGTGTGTGGACTATTCCCATTTGATCCCAATAATGTGGACTATTCAAAAATTATACAAAGACCAACAGAAAGCAATAACAAAGAAGACGGTAAAACATCTAATAAGAAGAATCATTCAGTTCAAGAAATAAAAAATTGTTTAAGCATTCTAGAAGCCAATATTCCGCTTCATATACTTAAAGCGATAAAATCAAATTCTGGGGATGAATGGAAGGGACCTGAATCATCAAAGGATTTGTACGCTCTTTGGAAAAAAATATTAAAGCTGACAAGTAAATCAGTGCCAATTGAAATTGAAAATATATCTGTAGACACAGAAGAAAATATTAAAGCGCCGGTTGATGTTCCGCAAGAAGATCAGGACGGACAATTACAACAAAATGATGAAGCCCAAGCACCCGCATACGAAAGAAATATTTACCATACTCCAGACATAACAGTTCCCTCTACTTCAAAAGCGACTATTCCTTTTGAACTAAATAGCATGTATTACCAACCGCATTTCCAAACAGATGATAAACCAATTGAACAAATGTTAATAGAATCTAATACACAGTCAACTGAATCACCTTTTAAGAAATACCTATTTTTTCCCAAAGAGGAACTAAAAAATCAGAAAAGAATAAAAGAAAGATCACGTTCAGTCATCACATCTGACTATTGGTTAAACGAACAGCAGAAAAAAGAAGAGTTGAAATTACAGAAAGAAGAGTTAAAGCTAACCAGAAAACGAACCAGAGAAGAGAA